GATACATCTTTGTTGAAGGGAACAGAAGTCAAGACTTAAGGGAAGGCCTTACAGAATAAGCATTTGCCGACTCTCTCCCCGCTCGCTAGTTTCACTGTGCCCACAGAACAGTAGATATGCAAATTGTTGAGATTGTTTGGGGATTGCGGGGATGAGGATTAAGGAGAAACGACATTTTTAAAAGCACAGCATTTGCAAAGCTGCGTGGGCTCTGCAGTGGGAAGCTACCGGAATGCGGAATGCGCGCGCAGGGCGGCCCCGAGAAGTCAGCCAGGGGCTGCTGACCTCCAGGAAAAAAACACCTGATCTCCTTCGCATCCGGACAGGGTGGCTCCCGGCTCCCCCTGCTCTCGCCTCTACCTCTGCACTGTTCCAGAGACCTCCCCTCCACCTCTGCCGTACCTCTTATCTGTCTCCTCTTGTCCTTTCCAATTCCCAGGAGCTGGGATACCTGTCGTGAGGGGCAAAGCCAGGGATCTGCCCTGATTTCAAATCCCAGTTTTACCACTTATGTTCTGCATGACCCTGGGCAAGTAAACTCGCTGGGCCTCAGTTTCTTCACTGTAAAATGGGAACACCAGTAGCTTGCCCCGGACACCCAGACTTCTTGCCCCCGTGCGCTGTGCCTGCAGCTCATCCCCCACCAGCCCCCGTCATCGGGTGTCTGGTCTCGAAGCTTCTCTGAGCAGCGGTTGCTAACGTGTGCAAAGACCCCTGCATGGGGCTACAGCCTATGCAGAGTTTTCAGGTCTCGGTTTATCAGCCAGTCCAGGGCCGGCCCTTGCCTTCTCACTCAGCACCACCTCTTACAACCTCAGACCTGTCGTGGTCCTGGACATGGCGCATCTGAAGCAGAACTCTGGGTTCTCCCCCGCCGCACCTGCTCCTCCCTCTGCCTTCCTCTCAGTGAATGGGGCCTCCCTCCTCCCTGTGCTCGAAGATCCGATGTCCTTGGTTCCTCTTCCTCTCCTTCCCACGACCAGTCCCTCAGTGCATTCTGTCAGCTCTACCCTCAAAAGAGAGCAACAATCTGACCACTTCTCACCACCTCTACCCAGGGCCATCTTGACCCAAGCCTCCTAATCAGTTTCCCTGCTTCTCTCTTCCCCTCCACCATCCATTCTCAATCCAGCAGCCAGAGGGATACTCGTAAAATGTCAGTCAGAGTATGTCATTGCTCTGCTCAAGACCCTCCACTGGCTTTCTTCTCATTCACAGTAAAAGCCAAAGTTCTCACAGTGGTCTACAAAGCTCTCCATGATCTTTCCCCTGGGCATAGCTTGTGACCCTCCCCAACTCTGCTCCTGCCATAAGGGCCTCTTGCTGGTCCTCCACCATGTCAAGCACATTCCCACCTCAGGACCTTTGCACTTGCTGTTCCCTCTGCTCTAAGACAGCCACATGGCTTGCTACTTGTTTGTTTCAAATCTCTATTCAAATTGTGACTAGTGATTTCAAGTCTTTATTAAATAGCAGCCTTACCCCAACTCTGGCAGTCCTTGTCTCCCCACCCCCATACACAGAGAGCAGACAAGTTAATATTTCTAGATCAACTGTTTTCTTGGAAGATCAGATTATTCAACACTCTTTAGGTATTTTCATCAGGAAAATGTCAGGTGGTTTAAGTGCTATAGATAAAAATGATTTATTTATATATTATTTACTAACTTATTTTCTGTCTTCCTCTAGATTCCTTCCTTCCTTAGACTATAAAGTCCATGAGGTAGGGACTTTGTTTTGCTTACTTAGTGCTTATGATGAATGAATGTCATCCATGTCCTGGCTGCAATTACGAACTCTAATAAATGACTCACAAATTTTCATATTGTTAGCTCAGACCTTCACTATTGTTAAATAGTGAAATCTATTTAACAATTCTTTTTGGCTGTTTAAAAGGCACCTTACACTCAACCTGTACAAAACTGAGCTCTTCTTCTTCTCCCAACCTGTGCCTCCTTTCATGTTCCCTTTATTAATTGTCAACAACATCATTAACAGACACCAACTACGTGCCGGGCTCAGGATAGAGCCGTGAACGGGCACAGACTCATCTCTCGTGGAATAGACATTCTAGTGAACCTTTGTTCCTCTGGGCAAGCCAGCCATCATATTAACCTTGACACTCCTCTTCCTCATCATCCCCCCCACAGACAACCCAGCACCAAGTCAAGGGGATGTTTACTTCCTAAATACTGTATAATCCATTCCTCTCTCTCTATCACTACATGCCAGGCTGGACTGCGATCATCTCTTGCCTGAACAATGACAACCCCTAACTGGACCAGAAGCCACTCTACCCTTCCAATCCATCTTCCATCCTGCAGATTCGATCAACTCCTTTTTGTCATGCACCCCCCAACCTGGCTGCAAACTCTTCAGTGGCTTTCCACGGCTCCCTCTCTCTCAACTCCAACAGCCTTCCCCCACCCCATTCACTTACGATGCCCCTCCTGCCACAGGCCCTTTGCACTTTCTGATGCCTCTGACGAGAGGCTCTGCCCCCCAGGCTGTAAGCTCCAGGAGAACAAGGCTATATCTGTTACACTCACCCTCATATCTCAGGGTCTAGCACAGCGCCCAACACCTGGCATTCGTCAAGTGAAGAAATGAATGAAGAGGTGTAACGAGTATCCAGTGAAAACACATAAAGCTCCTAGTATAGTTACTCCACACTCAGAAGGCATTAACCATCATTAAATCCCTCGGCCCCTTTCCCTCAGAGGGTTCCCAGAACTTGGGAAGGGAAAGTCATTGTCAATACCATCTGTTTTCTTTTGTCCTTCACTTCAAAGTCTAAATGATGTGGATAAACTGTAGAAAAACCTGACTGTACTCCCAAGCTAGCATGAGGGTGTTGAAGGAGGAAGAGGGTCAAGCTGTGGGCTGTCTCACTTTGCCCACATTCACGAAGCAGGTGGAGGCCCAGCAATTAGAGAAGGGGCTGTCTCGAGTGTGTGGGACCTGAGGCTGTCTTGGGGGCTTGCATGGTGACCAAAGAGAACACGACATCTACATAAGATGCCAATAGGAGATGCCCCTCGCCAGGAACCTTGAGAAGAGGACACAATTCTCACACTCAGACTTCACGTCCTAAGGGTCTCCTTCATGGCTGCACAGGGAGTAAGCGTGCGGCCACTCCAAGCAAATCCGGTGGGAAGGAGACTGGAGCCCATCTCAACGGGAAGGCAGAGATGGGGACACACAGTGAGAAAGAGGCAGCCAGGAGAAAAAGGAGGCATGCCCAGGAGTGGCCGCACCGCACCTGATGGGTGGGGGAGGAGCCAGAAACAAAAGCAGGGACAGAGCCAAGCATCCCCAGCTTGACTGGCCAGTGGGACCTATGTAAGAGCCGGCAAGTGGCCCGGACAGGCTCTCAGGCCAGGAGGCTGGGCAGTCTCCAGTCCCCCGCCTCCCCCAGCCTGCACTGGCCGGGCAGGGGCCACGCCGACGGCCACAGGAAGGGAGAGCGAGTGTGCGCTTCTCCACAGGTCAGGGAGCATCGCTGGGCCAAGTGCCAAAGACTCTCAGCAAGCCCAGCCCTGCCTGCCCTGAGAACTTGGGGCGGATCCAGGCATGGCAGAGGGCCATCAGGAGCACTCATCACCACCCTGACCCGCAGGAGGAAGGAGGCCCACCAGTCGGGGAGGTCAGATGGGACAAAGGTGTCTTTGGAGGGTAGTTCTCGCTCCCCTTTGCCCTCCGTGGATTCCACAGACGGGTAGAGCGGCCCAACTGCCTTGCAGGTAGGGAGACAAAGGGCCATGGCTGGGCCTGGGTCAGGCCCCCCAGCCCCCCCTGGGGAGCTCCACGGGGCCTCAGGCCGTCCCCTCTGAGCGCTGCGGGGCGGCGCGGGCAGGTACCTGGCGGCCTCCGACTGGAGGCGGGGCGGGGGGGGGGTGGACCTTGACGGCGTACTCGGTCCTCCAGCGCTTGGGCCGCACCCGAACACCTGGCCGAAGCCGCCGTTGGCCACCCGGCGCCAGTCGCCCTCGAAGTCGTCGCGGGTGAAGACGGCGAGGCTGCCCAGCCTCTGTTCCAGGCCCGCGGCCATGCGATCGGCGGCCCCCCGGCCCCTCCGGGCCCCGCGCACTCGGTCCGCACCCGGCACCGGGCTGCAGGCGAGGCTCAAGGCTGGCGGGCGTCCTGCCTTCCTGCCGCTGCGGCCCCGGAGGTGGGGATGGGGAGGCGCCGGCACTCCCCCCTTTCGCGCCGGGAGGGGACACCCAAACGGGAGTCCTGGGGCCCCAGCAGCGATGGGCCCTGGCGGGCCTGGGAAGAGGGTCCTTCCCCCGCCTCGAGGCACCACCCCCAGAGCCCCTCTGCACCCCAGCACCCTTCCTCAGTCTCAGCCTTCCGTTTGTACCCCCGTGGTCACCCTCGGGCGAGGGGAGGTGCCTAGAGAGGAAGGTGTCCTGAAGGGGAAGCCGGAGAAGGGGGCCCCCCTTGATTTCCACCCAGCCCTAAGTGGAAGTTGATTTATTTATTCTTGCTCACATGTACCAAGGGTTTCTGAAGGGGTGAGGACTGTGCTAGGGGTCTCTGCCAATGGGTGTGGGGGCCTGGAGCCCACCCCTCCACCTCCACTGCAAGAATGGAGTCAAAAAGTTGCAGTGGGGATTTTCGGGTCTGCATCTTTTGGCCTGACTGGTTTAATGTTGCCTTTTATTGTTGGGGTTTTTGTTTTGTCTCTTTGTCAACCGGTCTTGGTGTGCTGAAGGTCACCAAGAAGGGGTCAGCAGGAACAGTGGGGTGAGAGGTTGGGTGCCTGTCTGCGGGGAGCTCCCCTTCCTGGCATTGCTCTCTGTCCCACTCTCAGAGGGACTGGTACCTGATTTGGGGTTGGCCATGGGGGAGGTGGACTCCTTGGCCCAGTTACTGGGGTGGCTTGTTGCCAGGGTCCAGGGATGAGGCTCAGGGAACAGCAAGACTGTGACCATGGCCCCATCCTTGAGATGGGATCAGCGCAGAGCAGTGTCTGGGCCGTGGAGGAATCTGGCCCAAGGGCTCAGTGCAGAGACTTGGGGCAGGAGGGGAGAAGATGCACCTGCAGAGGATTGAATAGGCAGGTGTCCTCAGGCGCATTCCAGGGCAGGTGCTGCTGGAGGAACTGTCACCAGACAGGGCCGGATAGGTCACTTCTGACCTGCCCCTGGGCAGGTGGACTGCAGTCCACAGGGTACCCCCAGAGTGACCATACCCAAGTTCAAGGAGCCCAGCTAGCATGGGAGGAAATGCCTTACCTCTGGCCCAAACCTGTAGAACCTCTCACCATGACCACTATGAGACTCTTAGGGAATCGTGGGGGTGTGATGGGTGAGTAGAGACCCCAGGGGGAAGCTGGAGAACTCATTCTTTCCATAACAGTTTCTGTGCACCCCAGGATGAATTCTGGTAAGCAGGGTAAGGACTGAAGGTGGGCCCAGGGACAGCTGTCAAAGGGACCCTTGACAGCCACTACTGAGCATTAACTTTGTTCCAGCATCACTATGGACTTTGCCTACTGTCCGTACTTTACAAATACGATCTTGTTTAAACCCACAACAACCATTATGAGAGCAGTATCTTCCTGTTTACAGGTGAGGGGACTATACTTGAAGACAGTAAGTAGTCAATGGCCACATAGCTAGTAAGTGGTGGTTGAGATTCAGAGCCAGGTCTGTTAGGTTCCGATGGAAAATTGTTGGGCACAGGAGGAGTAGGTGGGTGGCCCTTTAAGACTATAGGGGGAAACAGGGGAATAGAATCGCACTTCCTGGAAGAGAATAGATGGGATGGAACCTGCACCCTGAGTAGGATATGGACCCCAAAGTCGTTGTCACAGGGAGACCCATGGCTTGCTTTGGCTGGAGCAGGGCAGGGCATGGCAGAACTGATGGTCCCTTGGGCAGCTCTGCTTACCCCTGACAAGTCTCAGACTCTTCCACCTGGAAGCTTGGAGGATGATGGAGGACATGATTGTCAGGGAGGTCGGGAGCTCCAATGGGTGGGTGAGAATGGAGATTGGAAGGTGAACAGCCCGCTGGCCTTGAGACTGTTTGCCTCAGGCCCAGATTTCTGCCCTTCAACACCATCTTCGGAGGCCACTGGAGGAAGCACCAGGGTCAAATGGCCTGAATCCATTGAGGAAATTCCCCTGGCCTGGTGAGAGCAAGAAACCAGAAGCCTCCTGGCATCTGCAGAGACCATCACAGGAATGCTGAAGCATCACCTTTGTAGGAGGAGACACCCAGGGCTCAAGGCAGGCTGCCAGGATCCCAAATAGAACTCCTCTGTGAGTTTTGTTCAGGGGTGGAAGTCGAGGGACATGTAGGAGCAGGTGTGTTACGGCTGACCAACTGTTGAAACAGCCAAGCAGTGGGTTCAAGCACTCTTGAGACTTCTGAAGAATCTGGCAAAATAAATATGTGCACATATTCATAGCAACTGGAGTCATTAGACTGGCTTGGGCTGCTCCCTTTATCTCACTCCTGGAGGCCAGGATGAAAGCCTAGCCGTGGGTGGATAAGCCCTGGGAGTAACATCAGAGAAGCAAAGAACTCCTAGGTTCCTCATCAAGTGGGTTGAGGCTTAGGGATTTGGGAAGGAGCAAAGTAGACCTGGGAGCTACTTATTTTTTTCTGGGGGTCTGAGTGCAGAAGTTCCTGGGGCCGGCCTGGCTGGCAAGTCTGCAGCCAGTGAGTGGGGAGGACACAGCTGGAGAGGAAGACTTCACCTTCAGCTGCCTGTTCCTACCTGTGAAGGGATGAATGAGGTGGGTACAGTCTGACCACGACACAAACCCACCGGAAGGGGCAAGAAGTATGTTCTAGCCATAGGAATTTTGCCTCCAGATGCTGAGTCCCTCCTGTTGACTTCTATCACTGTATTTTATTTTGGCAGATGGGGGATGGAAATTTTCTGGACTTGGATTTCTGCACATTGATTTTATATCCCGGACTTGGAATTATTATATGAAGTGTGTGTGTGTGTGTCTGGGGAGACTAAAATTTTCAGCCTGCCACCCCCAGACCAGGGAGCAGATAGAGCAGTTCTGCAACACTCTGGACGATGCTGAAATCCAACATGAGCCTTTCCCCAAACTGGAATGGCAAGCTCTCTGCATAGAGGGAAGTTCCCCAGTCTGTCCCCATTCTCCACCCTGCAAACATGTCACGGGACAGCTGGACAAGCTCCAGCAGGCTCCAAACTCCACTACCCTGTGTACCGAGGTGAGGGCCAGGTCGATCAAGATGAAGGAATGTGTACAGGGAACCAGAACATCTGCCCCGGGAGCAAGGCTGTCCCAGAGAGGAAGGGTTGGGATGCAGCAGGAGGAGCAGGGCTTAAATGCAAGAGCCTATGAGTCAGTGAGACCTGCCTTCAAACCCGGGCTTTTCCCCCACCACTTACCAGCCACTGGGCCTTGGTCAACATTACCAAATCTCTGCGTTTCTCCATCTGTAAAATGGGATGGTAATATAATACCCACTTCAAAAGGTTGCTGTAAGGATTAACCTTTAAAAATACACTTAAACCCACACCTTTAGGCAAAAACAAAACAAAACAAAATAAACAAAAACAAAAGAACCAACCCAAACTTCGCACATTATCCAAAAATTAATACAAAATGAATCGTGGACTTACTTACATATAAAATGTAACAGTATAACACCTTCAGAAAAAAAAAAAAAAAAAGATGAAAATCTTCTGGACCTAGGGCTAGGCAGAAAGTTCTTAGGCTGACCACCAAAAGTGCCATCCATGAAGGAAATGTGGATAAATTGGATTTTTTTTTAAAGATTTTATTTATTTATTTGACAGAAAGATAACGAGAGAGGGAACACAAGCAGGGGGAATGGGAGAGGGAGAAGCAGGATTCCCTCCCGCCTAGCAGGGAACCCAATGCGGGGCCCGATCCCAGGACCCTGGGATCATGATCTGAGCCGAAGGCAGACGCTTAACGACTGAGCCACCCAGGCGCCCCAGTTGGAGTTTTTTCAACATTAAAAACTTTCCCTATGAAAGATGCCATGAAGAGGATGAAAAGTCAGGGTATGGATGGAGAGAATATTTACAAACCAGACATTTGACAAAGTAGTCATTTTCTAGAATACCTAAAGAACGTTCCAAGCTCAACAGTAATAAAATAACAAGCTATAGAATTAAAAATGGAGGAAAAACATGAACAGACATTTCACTGAAGAGGATACAAAGGTGGGAAATAAGTGTATGAAAAGACGTGAGCATTAAGGAAATGCCAATTGAAACCACAATGAGATATCACTGCACACCTATGAGATTGGCTAAAAAAAATTTTTTAAGTGACATCACCAAAAAAAAAAAAAGTGACTGAGGATGCAGAGAAACTGGATCATTCATATTTTGGAGGTGGGAATGTAAAATGGTATAGCTACTTTAGAAAACATTTTGGCATTTTCTTATAAAACTAAACATACAATTAGCCTACAACCTAGCAATTGCACTCTTGGGTATCTATCCCAGAGAAATGAAAACGTGTTCACACAAAAACCTTAACGTGAGTATTCATAGCAACTTCATTTGCATAGCTAGAACCTGGAGACAGCCTGGATGTCCTTCCGCAGGTGAATGGTAAGCTGTGGTATATCTATGCTCAAGTGGAGGGGGGAGGCTAGAAGGAGCACTGGACCACTCAACGTCAATTACAGGAAGAATCACCAACTACAGACCCCAACAGAGGTCTCAACAGGAGCATCAACAGGAAAGAATCATCCATTACAGGCCCCACCAGAGAAAAGATGGACACTGCATCTCCTAAAAGAAATCGACCATCCCTGCAACTTAGCTGATGAGAGATCTTCATCACCCTGTCTTGCTTTTCCCCAGTGGATTTTCATTCAAAACAACCCCTCCCAACTTCTTCATAAAATAATGCTTCTCTCCTTTGTTTTTTGGACTTGCCTGTAGTTTGGCCATAGTTTGCATGTCTTGAGTTGTGATTCTCTGCTATTCTCAAATAAACCCATTTTTTGCTGTTTGTAAAATAACTGACTTTTATGTTTAAGGCGAACGGTGTACTACGGAACACTACTC